ATATATACTAGCACAAAAGCATCTTCAGCTCTAAGCCTAAAATACAGCAGCCTCAAAGACTGTTTCATTGCTATTTATCGGAGACAGCAACAGCTGGTTCCTTCTCTGAGTGAAAAATACATCATGGACATATATCCTACAGTGCAGGTGTACAAACAGCAGATCTGATACTGCTAACACTTTCCACAATATATGGATATAAAATAACTAAATTTTTCTGCCATTATTCACAGTACTGACTACTACAGTGATAATTCCAAGTAACACAGGGCATGGGAACTGCACAGCAACAGCTGGTTCCTTCTCTGAGTGAAAAATACATCATGGACATATATCCTACAGTGCAGGTGTACAAACAGCAGATCTGATACTGCTAACACTTTCCACAATATATGGATATAAAATAACTAAATTTTTCTGCCATTATTCACAGTACTGACTACTACAGTGATAATTCCAAGTAACACAGGGCATGGGAACTGCCCCTCCTTACAAAGAGGGAATCCACATAAGCTTAGGTCAATGTAAAACCATTTTTTTATTCTAAATCACTTTCACAACAGTGAAAATTAGTGAACAATAAAGGGTTGCACTATATGTGCCATCTTTCTCTAACTGCAGGCCATGTGCAGTCTGAATACAAGGGAGGAGGAAATGATACAATACAAAATACATACAAAGAAAATAATCAGAAGCATTAACACTTAATCTCATTCTTGGATTGTGAGGAAATTAATGACTAAGTCTTGTCATTGCAGCCGCTTCAGCCTGCACCTCTTCAGCTTCTCAAGAGCAGCCGGCAAACAAAAAATATATAAAAATTTAAGCTTAAAACTTTATATTTCAAAACAAAAATGTTATTCTGGTTTAATACCTATTTTGTTCCTGTTACAGCTGAATTTTTCACTGTCACCTTGAAAGGATTATAGCAGTGTCTCAGAATAATAGTAAAAGGGAAGGAAGTACAAAATCCCTTTTATATTAGCAGGTAAAATTTCTCTTTTTGCCAGCAGGTGGGGCTGTCTCTCAGTAAAACATCATGGCAGTGAAAAAAGTTTCATAATGTGTGTTCAGTTGAGGATAAAAATGCATAATTTCAAAAATATCCATTACAGAAGTCAATTAGAAGGTCTGAAGCTTCTGAAGTGCCTTCACTGTTTAAGCAGCATTTTAATTACCTATACTCAGTGGATGGACCCAACCAGACCTTGCATCACTGCAGAAAACAGCTTTGCAAAATCCTGTTTCCTGAGGAAACTTTTGAGGCATGGAAACAAAACCCCTACCAACTTTCCTCATCCCCCCCACCACTCCCTCCCCATACTCATCCACCTCATCACTGATGGATGAACAGTTTCTGTTTAGGCAAGTAGGTTTCACTGCTACTGCTCACAGTTGTCATGCCCAGGCACTTCATACTTGTAGAGGAGAAAAAGTCTAGCTCCTGAAACAAGTCAATGAGTTAATTTATATTGATTTGTTTTGTCAAATACCATGATTTATTGCCCAAGAAGTCACAAAATTCCTTTCGACAGCAAGTCAGTCTCTATTAATGATCTGAGTCAAAGAAACAGTATCTCAAAATAAAAATAGAAGAGCATCCTTTTGAAAGTGTCCAGTTAGAAGAAAGTCAGAGATAAGCAATCCCTCATATTTCAGGTACTGTGGATCCAGAAGATTAGTCAGAAACACTTTTTAAAGCTTTATGCCCAACAGAATTTGCTTTCAGAGCTGCAAGCACATGTCTATTGGTAACCTCCTGTCTTTCAAATTAATATCTTTGGCAAATCTGCAGCAGAGCTCATGCACTACAGCCATTCCTTATAGGCTAGAAGCAATGGTGTACTATGATTTAGGCAGTGCTCTTACATTATTTCTGACAGTGGCCCCCAATAGGAAAGGTTAGATTTCAATTTTTTTACCAACATAAATGCATTTTTGAAAAGTTAATCTCAAAATTTACTTAAGAAATCTCCACTGTGACCCTTCCCTTCAAACAAGATAAGCTCAGATCTGTAAAATGACTTTATTCAGAGTACACAATAGTCCTGGGCATCATTCAGTTTTTGGAGAACGAGTGCAGTTACAGCAAGTGAATTATGAAGGTACTATCCATGAGTAAAGCCAAAGAAAACAACACTGCTTCGTTACTGAGGAACAGCACTGCATACGGCTAGAGACGTACTCTGCTGTCCAACAACTCTAGCCAACCCCACAAGGAGAGAATTTTGAAGTGTCTAGCTCCAGAAAATTGAGACTAATTTATGATTTTAGGCTGAAGTTTCTTAACCCATCCTGTTACAGCCATTCAAGTGCCATGGACTTTTCACAACTCTGGTGAGTAACAGCACATATAGAACACTGGTCTCCAAAGCGGATTCCATTTTCAGGCAGGTGCTCTCCCCAAGAAGTCTCTTTAGTGTTGCAGGTATTTCCTGGCAAGAACTGGACTTTGATATAAAAAGATTAAATAATGTTTTGGAACGTCAACTGATCCATTTCTTTCCCATCACAGTTACTACACAAGTGATACTGATGAACAAAGCAGTAGGTTCCTTTCCTCACCCGCCCACACTCCTTCAGTTCTAGCGCCTTCCACATAAACCTGTCCTAGCTGATTGGCACAGGATTTCAAAAGCAACGCTCCCTTTGAGAGTGAAGCTCAAAGCTAGGTCCATGGTTGTATCTGGATACCAGCGGTAGGAGACATGGCTGAGGTAAGACATGGTTGTTAACAGTTATTTAATTCCAAGGTTCTGGTGCAATATACGAGATTCCTCAATGTGTTTGTGGCACCAATTCTTGGAACCTGTGATTAGCTATGGAACCAGACACCAAGAGCTTAAAGTGGGATGGGGAAGCAGTTTTTAAACTAGTTCAGAGACCCTGATGACCACGAATATGCAAGGTACAAAGCAGAGTTATGCAATCAATAGCCAGAACATGATCACCAGAGCCACAAACAGGAAGAGCCGGGATAGGAACTGCTCATCCACATACTGGGGAGTTCCTGGAACAGCTGAAAAACAGAAAGTGAAAAAGTTTAGTTCTTTCCTCTTCTTCAAGATATAGTATATTCTGTGCATAGCATATTCACAAGAGTAGCGAGATCAGCAAGGAACTCACTGGCTGATAGACTTTGCTGCCGGCAAAATTGCCCTGTTACAGGAATGATTTTATCTGCCTTGCCCACCCTGGGAATTAGGAAGAAATGTAAAACATTTCTTGATACAAAGCAAGATTTAAGTAGGTCTACAGGTGACCCTACTCCAGCAGGCAGCCTTTCCACAGATTTACAGAAGACAATGGTGAAGTACGTATAACTCAGTCAAGTGTTTCTACTTTACAGACTTTTGTAACATTTCCATCAGTCCTTCCCCTCCACATAGGAAGATACCTCAGAATAAGCAAGAATATCTTATGGGGAGTCTTACCCCAACAGAAACAGTGGGAAACTTAAAGGAGCTGAAAACTATCCCTCTAGAACACAGGACTGACTTGCAGATGAACCACAGACAGAAAAAGATTAATGGCAATCATTAATTGCCAGAAGCAGGAAGTGGATAACAGAGGGATGACTCACTCCATTTCCTGTTTTCTTTATTTTCTTCAAAGCACCTGACATTGGCCACTGTCAGAAGACAAGTATCAGAGGGGTAGCCGTGTTAGTCTGAATCTGCAAAAGCGACGAGGAGTCCTTTGGCACCTTATAGACTAACTGAATTGTAGGAGCATAAGCTTTCATGGGCAAAGACCCACTTCGTCAGATGCATGTCGTCGCTTTTGTCAGAAGACAGGCTACTGGGCTAGATGGATCATTGGTCTGGCGCAGTGTGGACATTCTTATGCATTTCTTTAAACAACCAGGACAATCCCACAGACCCTCTAGCTCCAAACAGACATGCTCTTAAGCTAGCTGATAGTATAAAGCAAGGTACAACTAATAGGCTAAATGAAATTGCCAAAGAGTAGACAATTTAGCAGCACTTTCAAAAGTTTAAAAACCCAGTGCGACTTTCTCTCGTTACTCCAAATGAAATATGTAGATTGAGGCTCCTTTAACAAACTAAGGCAGACTATTGGCTAAAAAAATGTAACATAGGTACCCCTGAAAGTCTTGGGCTCTAAGTTTTCTACTAAAACCAGGCGGTTTGACTACTGTGCAAAGGAGGAGTTCAGCTTTATAGGCTGTTTGGTAATCCTCAGAATGAGAGGACTATATTAAAGTAACCCAAACTGGCTTTATTCACACTGACAACATTGAAATTAATTCACCAGGCAGTTACTTGTCATAGCGTATAGGTGACTGCCCTAAAGATGAACCACAAAGCAAAGAAAGTAGCATTCCTGAACTTTTTTTCTTCTTCATGATATATGACGACTGATACCTTTTTTTTTAATCCCAAAAAAGTTCTCCTCCCACATAAGCAAAATGATTTTTCCTTCTTTTAAAAATGCTAAAAATTCAGATCTCAACTTCTCTCTTGGAGAATCTTTTGGAGGACTGGAGTGGATCGCTCTCAGATCACTGACGGGACTTTCCCAGCTCTCACCTGACAGGAAAGAATGCTCAGTCGGACATTTTAAATATATTTTTTTCTAAAATCTGTTAAACCTGCAAGGTCACTATCCCTCTCCAGTCCTTCAATCCTCCACAAAGTCCTTCAGCAAGAAGAGAGACGTCATAAGTTGGTATTGTCTAATGTAAAGGTATCGGTTTTTTATATAAAATTAAAAGACACAGGAAAGAACGTTTTCCTTTTGTTGTTCACTCTTAAATGATTAGATCTACAGTGCACAGAACAGTGTTTCCCTATATGCCATTTCACTGATGTACTTTGGCATACAGACAAGTTAGTGATTTAACAGGTTCTCTGTTTGAAAAATACAAATTAACCTATATGAAATTAATTCTTCTAGGGATTTTCCCAGTAGGTAAAACACGTAATACCTGGTGGAGGTCGCCCATCATTTATGTTGAATGCTGTGGCAAATATACCAAAGGGAAATGCCCCAATTCCAAATGACATTTGGAAGCCACCATCTCCAAACCCAAAGCCTTGGAATCCCTGCAGAAAAGAAAAGAATGGAAGTGAAACACACTGTCATTTTAACTGTAAGCCAGAGTAAAAGCCAAATATTCCCCATCACTGAGCTTCTTTAGGCTAAGTGAGAATCACACTATCTGGCAGTTTTCAGTTTATGCTTGTATGGTCCCACACCTCTCTGAAACTCATGGCTGAGGGTTACAGATTACCAAATGTTAAAAAACTTCGTAAATCCCTCATCAGATGTCTGAGAATGTATCATAATTTATACCATTAGACATCAGTTACTCTTTTATTAAATAAAGCTTTAATTATGAGTCCATATTTACTATCCATTAATTTAAAACAAAAGCAACATGAAAAATTACCCAACATTGCTCTTTCTGATATATGTAAAGTTCTGTGACAGGCACTTTAAATTTCAGTTTGTATCACACCATAGGAAGCTTTATGGGGAAGAGTTCTTGCCCGAAGGAGTCTACAATATAGATTATATATAACAATGTGATGCAGGGAGACATAACATCAAAGGAAGAAGAGTAAAGGGGGAGTGGCTTTATGATCCAACATCACTGACTGACTGTATAGAGTCCAAAAGAAAACTTGAGAGTTAATCTAGCCAAGCAGAAAGATGAAATTACTGAATCAAAAAACATCCAAGTCCTAAACAGGGTCCAATGTTTAGGAAACAGTTAGTACGAAACAATGATACTCTAAGGCATGATGGTGAGAGAGCAAACAGTTACCCTAGTCCCAGACTCTGCCAATGTACAACTGATTACCTTGTCTCAGATCAGAATTATACTAATATCAGTTCTGGAGAACACCCTAGTTTCTAACTATCCAGCTTTCAGAGTATACACAAGTGACCCTATTGACATAATTCTTAGACCTAGAGCTTCAGGACTGATCCCTTGATTTGATTAGTAAAGTTTCCAACTCTCCTGCATATGTTGTCAGTTGGCTTGTCATCAACGCCACCCAACAAAGGGGGCAAGATGCAGCAAGGCTCCTTTGCATGACGGTTCTTGCCGTTTCAGAAACTAGGGAAGCAGCACCACTGCTGCAATGTCTCTAGGCCAGATTCCTCTGATTAATGGCAGCACCTGCTAAAAGGTTCTACCAAGGCACAGCAGCTGATTTAATAAGAAGGCAACTCCCCAAGGAGAGAGAGCTACTGAACTCCCATTTATTCAATGCGGAGATGTTCCTCACTTATACCCAGCAGGGCTGTTTGTTTGAAGCAATGAGATAGAGGAGTGCTCTCTGGGGACCAGAAGCCGAATTACATGGAAATATGCAAGTGTTTCATCAGGTCACACTCACTTCTCACTGTGCTAGGAAACTGGTCTATCCTGATAACGGTTCCCCATGTATTGCCTACTATTTATATTCACTGTATTCACATACCTGAGCTACTGTTTGTATACACATACCCCACTCCACTTGGGGATGTATTAAGGACGGTAAGTAGTGTTTAACCGACTAATCCAATAGTCAAAGCATTTTTGCATCTAGCTGACCCTGAGCCTTGCCACTTTGAAACTCCATGGTGGTATTTCAAAGGGGCAGCGCCGCACTGAGCCCAAGAAGTCCCCAGCTGACCCCAGGCTTTGTGTGGCACTGTCCCTTTGAAACTCTGCCGAGGTATTTCAAAGCAGCAGCACTGTGTGGAGCCCGGGGTCAACTGGGGAGTCCCCAGTTGATCCCAGGCTCTGTGCGGCACTGCCACTTTGAAGTATCTCCCTTTTCTCCCCCCCAGCCTTACTGCCTCTATCAGACAGGGGACACAACTAGTTAACTATCCTGTTGACTATCTGATAAGCATTTGCTTATTGGATAGTCGACTAGTCCTTAAAATCCCTAGTACCTATACATACACGTGGTAAAGTTATGTTCTATAGCAAAGTGGATATCAGCACACAACAGCAGTCCCCAAACTTCTGAGGATCAAGCCTTTCCTTGCCCATTTCAGAGCTAGGTGCAGGACAACAACTTTAGGAGGGGGTGAAGATGAGGGAGGACAGGGATAAAAGGAGGTAAGGCTGCAGCTGGGGGTGGGTTCTAGGACTGGGAACAGGGCCACAGACCATGACTATAGCACTGGGAGTGGGATTGGTGCCACAGCTGGGCTGTAGAGGAGGCTGGCAGCCAGGATCAGGGCCAGGTGCAGCTCAACTTCCAGCCTTGACCAAGCCTTGGCCCCGGGCTGGGAACGGAGCAGTGGCGAGACTGAGGGCTGGTGTAAGGCTGTCAGTGGAGCTACGCAGAGGCTGGTTGTAGGGCTGGCTACAGGACTGGGAGCTGGGGATGCAGCTGGAGTTGGGTGGCATTCCCTCCCCATCCTCCTCGGAAGCTGGCCTGTATCTCACCTGAGCCCCCCAGATGTTCCCTCCATGACCGTTTGGGGAGAACACCCCATGTTTTGGGGACCTCTGGCATACAGTGACCAAAGCATTCACTCTGTACATTTCCAAGACAGCTCCTATTTGACAAAATAAGAGCTACGTCCACAGCCACTTTTCAAAACGCTGCCTAAACAGCATGTTCTGATTATGAACGGTAACACTGTCAGCAATATCATATTGTAAAGTTTGATTAAAGTTACTTGATGCTATAAGATGCTGAAGAAAAGAGGCATCCACAACACAACATCACATACCAAGAGACTGACAATAGAAAATATAGAAGGATTTCCACAATTAGTCTCCCTCCTCCGCAAACCCTAATCCAGTCTTTCCACTTAAACTTGTGTTTTACTTACCCCCCTGTTCTCTGGTTCAGGTCTCTGTCCCTGTGGTCGTGGTGGAGTTTTCTCTCTGGAAAAAAAGACAGTAGAGTTAGCATAAGTATAGAGATATCTGGTATAACAGTTTACAGTCATGGGCTGGCCAGAAACAGAAAAAACACAACTTGTTCCATAACAGAAGTCCAGAGAGGATTGCATTATTGCAGCAGAGTTCTGTGGGGTTAATTTACTAACTGGAGCCAGAAGTTAGTTGAAACTCCCTTTCCAAATTCACAAACTGAGATTCTACAGAATGCTGCTGTTCAGCAATATCATTTTACACGTTACAGTCAAAGGAGCTTGAGAACTGTGATCAGCCCCCATGAGTGTTCTGTGCAAGCAGCTCTAGTCAGATATTGTTATGCAACGTGGGGTCTTCAGTTAGTATTGAGAGTTCAATTCAAATTAAAATAGATTTCCACAGATAAACAAAAAACAGGGTGTGAGAATCTAGGCCCTGGGAAAGCCAGGACGATATATCACCTTTATCTAAGCATTGAGCATCTCTTATCTGACACATCAGCTGTACAACAATTAAGTTTGGATTTCCACAAAGAAGTGGCTGCATTTTGGTTCCTTACCTGGGGTCCTGCTGCCCAGTACTGCCCCTTCCATACAAAGGAATAACTTTATCTCGACTGATTCCTGCTTTACATACTGGACACACTTGCCTGTTTGGCCTGGTCTCTAACCACTAAATAGAGAAAATTAGAACAAAATAATTAAGATGCCATGAGAACAATGGAACAATAAGAACGTGAAAACGTGTCTCTCTCTCAGCCACACAAAAGCCAGCCAAATACATTTCTACAACTATTCAGAAAAACAAGGCAAACTTGACTACTATTTAGAAATGCCAAAGCGCTTCTGATTTGGGCAGTACTTGGTGTAATTTAGTATAGTATGCTGCTGTATCATATCTGCAGAAGTGTATATGTGTAATTTGGCTGGCAAAAACTGTGACAACTACACTGTAGAAACAACCCTACACTGACATGGGGAAGGATTATTCTCATCTCCAATGCTCGACAAACCGCTGAATCTAGTCACCTGTGGCGAGCAGTCAGCCGGTCACTCCATGCGCCCCATTCACCGGCACTTCGCGCATGCGCAGTGCTGGTCTGGCGCATGTGCAATGCGGAGCTGGTAAGAAGCTCTCACCGGGTTTGTCAAGCCCTGCTCATCTCACCTCTAATTTCTATAATTTTAACATACACAGAGTAGAGGTGTAACAGTAAGTGTGGCAAGAGAAGTGCTTTAAGTTTTTAATCTACATACTAAGCCACCTCTGCTCTCATCTGTAACGTCTCCTCCCTGCATCACTGAAATATTTGAGTGGTTAAAGATACTGAGAAAAGGGACTTTTGGTCTATGCTTTTCTTTCTCTGGAAAAATGGATTGCAAATTATTGCATGTTAAGTTTCATTAGTACATTCTAGTTGCCCTGGAGAGAAGGAAGTGTGCTTAGCAAGATAAGGGGATATTGCAGCTTCTGACAGAATACCCTAGAGAGCTGAAGGGGTTATTGTGTAATAGGAGCTGATGAAAGACAAAGTAAAAAGAAAATGATCTTACCTGGTGTAAACAAGGCCAACTGTTGGTATTCCCAGGATGATTTGATCACAGGGCAGAAAGAGAGAAGGGGAAAAATGTAGTTAGTAACTCACACTGAGATTTGGAAAATATAGAGTATATTGGGGACAGCATGCTTAAGGGAAATCAGTACGTTAAAAAAATCCAACAATGTCAGTACCATAACTTTGCATTAGAACAAACTGAACTTCTGAAAATACAGCCAAAGTCAGATCTCCTCTAGCCCCTCAAGTTAATAGCATCTGACACTAGTTTACCATTATGTGGTTTCTGTACATTTAACTTCTGGTCCCTGTACTCTCACCATCTAGAAAAACTTAAAAAACAACAACTAGTCTATCAGCACCTTAAAGACCAACAAAGCGTGTAGATGATATGAGCTTTTGTGGGTACCACCCACTAGTGTTGTACCCACGAAAGCTCATGATACTATTTACACGCTTTGTTAGTCTTTAAGGTGCTGACAGACTAGTTGTTTTTTAAGGTTTTCTAGTTACAGACTAACTTTGCTACCTCTCTGAAGCTTCCTACCATATAGGAGCTCTACTACCTTATACATCTGCACACAAGGAATACACAAGGACTTAAATTCACTTTACTCGACCTTCTTGCACAAATTCTGCTCACTGATCCCATGAACTCATGTCTTAGGCAAAGTTAAAAGATGCCAGCTGTATGACATTAGGATATTAAGAATCAAGGGAGGATCAGATGGTTAAAATTCTGAGAGAGGTAAAGAGAAACATACGTTATGAAGCATGCTGTTAATTCTAAAATGGGTACGAAGCATGTGGAACAGAGTAGTTATTCTAACTTCCTTTAGATACTTCACGTCAATCAAAGTCCTTGTGGCAACTTTTAAAAGTGTCAAAACTAAACAAAAACAGGCCACAAGACAAGACTGCTTATCAAAGACACTGAAATCAACTGCTCTCTCAGTGATATACACAATATGCAGATTGTCCTCCCAAAGACTGAACCTTCAATCCTGGAGTAAAGTCAAACCATGTAGGTGATTTAATCTAATAGTTATCATTACAAGAAGGTTCCATTGTAAGAAAAAACTGGTAACAAGGACCTCCAGTGGAAATGTTGACACCAGAAACCAAATTCTACTTGCTTACATTCATGTGACCACAGGTTAACTGAGACCAGAACTCAATCCATAGAATGAAAAAGTCCACACAATTAGCAATATCAACCCTTGATAAACTCCTA